CAGAGACGGCCTGATGTGAAGCAGCTGCAGCAGAACTGCAGTAAAAACAACATACAGCATCTCAGCTCTGTTTACAGTTCAATCAGAGCTTCACTTCACTTCTTACTCTCACTGTCACAGCCGAGCAGGAAAACTACAATACAGCTGTTGTAGCTCAGTGTTTGAGCATTATAGTTCACTACTAAACATTCTGACATCGCGTCTGCAGTAGCTCTATGGAGAGGAAGTGAGTTTTACCCTGCTAATGCTTAAACCGGATATAATCACGAATCTTGTGAAAAGGGCCCATTAATCATCAAAGTTACGTAAAAAAGAACACCTTTTCTTGCCTTTTATAAGGTTTGAACTGCTCTGCGTCTGATTCATAACAATTTTGTACGATGTGGAAACAAGTGGAGATTTGAGCATAAATGATAAATCAGCTTCAGTGCATGAAACCAGCCGACCAGCACCTCATTTACATATCATTTACATGAAGCACACACTAATTCATGCAGATGTTTCAGTAGCCAGCCAATAAAACGGCAGTGTTTGGCATGAAAGCTAATGGCCGTGCTCGTGGGTGGAGTTTGATGTCCAGCAGTGAGTGCACTCCTCCCCTGCTGACCAAACTTAATAGTATTAAAATGAAAACAACTGGAAAAAATAAAATGTGAAATAAAACTAAACACTCAGTGTTGTTAACATAGTAGAGTGATTGTTTAGTGTAGTTAATTCCCTAAAATAAACGCTGTATTATTGCAGTGTATGACCGAAGCTGTGTTTGTGAGTCAGTAGTATGAAACTAAAGCACAGTGTAATGTGTCTTTAAATGGAACATGAAATAGTTGCAGCACTTGTTTATATCAATGTGCATGTAAAGTAAGTACATCCACTTTTGTCCTGGACTGTCATGCACACAAATTAGTATTACTGAAATTTTCTATTGTTGTTCTTATTTTTGCAATTATAGATTATGTTGATAATAGTTTGGTTAATTAGCCACATATCCAGCATTTATGCCCAAATTTACATGCACTCCTACCAGATATGAGTACAGATGTGCCAAGATGAACGTGATGAATAACAAAACCGTCAGTGAATGTGTGTGCGCTCATCTTACGGTCAGATGTGACCATAAGCATCTTTAATGAACCAAAGTGAGAAAAGTGAAGCAACTGAATATATGGAGGTGATGGAAAGTTAATTAACAGGTAATTAGCGGGATTAACACATAAGTGCTAGTAAGTTATCACGTTACCTCTTTATATGAAGAAAAAAACGTATATTTAATTAACAATGTAATAAGCAGCAATTAGCACACAGATAATGAGTAAGTAAGCCACAAACTAACGACAAACGAACTTATCAACTAACAGTGTACTTAATTACTAATTGATAAGTGCTTAATCAATTACTAAGTAATAGCTAATGCTTAATGAAGAGTTAACTAATAACTAAATAATGGGAAACTAATAGTTGATTATTATATATTTAATGATTAATTAGCGACCCTTAATGTAAAGTGTTACCCAATCAGTTAATTGTTTGAGTACCACTGGAAAAGGGCTGCCAACTTTTGAGGCCAGTTCGGAGCTGGGAGGGAGGGGGGCAAAACTTTAATCCATGTAGGAAAAATGCAAGTTTTGCAGGAGAGTGGTAAATCGGACCAGCCAGTGTAGGAGAGTTGGCAGCTCTGTCACAACATACGCTGGGACTGCTAACTTTGTGTCTGTAAGGTGTTGATGATTAGTTCTGTTTATTCCAGCTGAACAGGCTTGCCCGTCATATAAACAGTTCATGGAGTACAGAAGCATCAAATCAAAAGAAAGAAAGTCCTTTAGCTGTGGGCCAAAGAGACGACTAAAACAAGAAAGGAGACAAGTTCAGGTAAGGTGGCTCGTCTGTTTTGTGTCATGTATAAATGACAACTGTCTGCAAGAGAACAAGTGTAAAGTTTTGTTTTAAGCAGTAGACCATTTTGGTGTTTATCTTCCTATGCAACAAACATACAAACATAAGATTTACAGTAATCATATTCTTTGTCTTATATTTTCCTAGATAAATGTAGGATTGATGGTGCCACATACATGTGATTTTAAACCTGTAAGAGGGAAAACACTCCCATTATTTACAAACCTGGAGGTAGCAGCACCAGATTTGCTGAAACTAGCTGTCCAGAAAATGAGAGTTTCACTTTGTAGTTCAACAGTTACAGGCTGTGGTCCATGTGTTTCTCGGCACACTTTGTCAGCCCCCTTTTACCCTGTTCTTCAATGGTCAGAACAGGACCACCACAGAGCAGGTATTATTTAGGAGATGGGAGGTGGTTTTAATGAGCTGGATGGTTGGAATACGTGTCATAAAGGAAGAATGATACAGGCCGTATAAATTTGTTGAGTATTGTATGTTTTTAACCTTAGGTTTTTAAACCCCAGGACCAAAGTACACCCAAAAAGAAACCCGAAGATGAAGTGTAAGTATTAACATGTAAATTTAAGTAATTTGTCTGTAAGCTGGTAGTGTGATGAAGTCACATATTTGGAACAGACCCTTAAATTTATGTTGAGACCAAAGTTTTTGCTCTGACTAAATGATGTAGGAAGTAATACAAGAATAATGTGAAATACAACAAAATTAGTTGTTTTAACATGTTTCAGAGATGCAACAGGACATTCTTCTACAATAAATCCTGGACAGGTATTGCAGCAGATGTTACCTCAATTTTTTGCTTTCAATTTTGTGTTGTGTTGGACATTGGTTCCTTTTTATCACTTTATTTTTCAGACAGTAATATCTGATTCTGAAGATAATCAGGATACACCTGGAGTGTAAGTCAATAAAGACAAAATGTGATGATTCACTTTATATAGATTTAGATTATATAAATTTAGACTAGAGGGAAAAGAAATGAGTAAGTTGTTTCTAAAATATCTGTAGAATGATTAACTTGTAGTTGTAAATCACTTTAAAAACAAGTTTTAGTGTAAAGTGGGTGGATTAGCCTTTTAACATAGAAGCAATCATTTCCCTACAGTAAATATACAGACCTTTATGCACTGTGGTATGAGGAGGAGGATGAAGAGCCCGTTCCTAGTTAATTAGTTATGTAATAATGTGTAAAAGTAGCCTTTTACTGCACATCACTTGTGCAAAATAACAAATTGGGTACTGTCTACAATTTCCACCAATGTAATTTACTCTTCTGTAATTATAGTGAGGAGATAAACATTACACTACCTGATATCATCACAAACCTGTCACATCCTATTGATCATGGAACAGTCAGATACAGTATATGCAGTCATCATCAGTATTATATAGGTGCACTTTACAGTTCTACAGTTACAGACTGTAGTCCATCTGTTTCTCTGCATACATAACCCCTTGTTAGTTTATTAGTAATGAGTTACTGTGTATTTCACTTTATAATTCTGTTCCTGATCCTCATTAACTTCTAGTCCATTAGTAATGAGTTACTGTGTGTTTCACTTTATAATTCTGTTCCTGATCCTCATTAACTCCTAGTCCATTAGTAATGAGTTACAATGTGTTTCAGCTTATAATACTGTTCTAGATCATCATTAACTCCTAGTTCATTAATAATGAGTTACCATGTGTTTCACTTCATAATACTGTTCTAGATCATTAATAACTCTTAGTTCATTAATAATGAGTTACCATTATTTCACTTTATAATACTGTTCTAGATCATTAATAACTCTTAGTTCATTAATAATGAGTTACCATGTGTTTCACTTTATGAAACTGTTCCTGATCATCATTAAGTCCTAGTTCATTATTAATGAGTTATCATGTTTCACTTTATATTCCTGTTCTAGATCATCATTAACTCCTAGTTCCTTAATAATGAGTTACCATGTGTTTCACTTTATACTGTTCTAGATCATTATTTACTCCTAGTTCATTAATAATGAGTTATCATGTTTCACTTTACAATACTGTTCTAGATCATTGTTAACTCCTAGTTCATTAATAATGAATAACCATGTGTTTCACTTTATAATACTGTTGATTTAAACAATCAAGGTTTGTGTTATTCAGCTCTAAAATTTTATGTTGTATGTGCAAATTCCTGCTTAGCCATTCAGTCAGAAGCCCAGCTCAATATATACCTGGTAAAAAGTAAAAGTTTCATCATAAATATGTTGTAACATGAAGTCTTGATTTCTAGAAATAATATTTCATCATTAAAGTAAAGCCAGGTGAGAATTATGTATGTTAAAGTGCATCACAGAATGACTAGTTAATTAGTGATGAGTAAACACAAGTAATCCAGAAATGCTTGTAAAATATGACTTGAATTGGTGCAGAAATGAAATAACAGCACAGTCAGCAATGCCTTTGCCAGATTTATTCAAAGAATTCATCAGACAAAAACAAGTTTTATGATGCCTGAAGAAATTGATGATCATGCAGAAAAATTACTGATTGGTTAAAAATAAAAGAAGATTAAGAAATAAAAGAATAAATGGATGTAAAAACACATCAAAAGGTCAGAGCACCACTGCTTCAACACTTAGGCCTCTCTCTCTCTCTCCCTCTTTCTCTCTACTGTTGACATCCAGAATATCCAGCTGCCCTCACTAACTGTCTGCCCTCTTTTAACCTAATTTTTAAGCCTGTCTCTCATACATTTACCGTGCACTTCTGTTTAATCACCTTGAATTTTTTTAATTTTTATTTGTATTATTATTTTTTTATTTTTAAGTGCACAAAATACATAGATTAGAAAGATGTCAAATATGATACGTGCTATTCTTTTTGCACAAATAATTACTTTTTTGGGCACGGAGAAAGAGAAAGACTCTCTGGATCCTTAAACACATGCAAATTCTGCAATAATCAACCCTTGATTATAAGATAATCTCAGCAAATCAACAGACGTGTATATAACATATGCTAATCAACAGAATCATAGAGAACCAAGAAGAACAGATGGATAACAGAATGAATCTTGAAAAGGCAGAAAGGACTCAATTCTCTTTCATGCTGCAGGAGCGTCTGCTGCTTCACCTCAAGCTTTAAGTGCTGCAAAACACAGAGAGAGAAGATAATGTTAGAAGGAAAATGGCAACAGTAAACAAAAATCAGACCAGCCTCCTGTGCTGTGCTAATGTGAGCTAGATTTACTGTGTACATTTTGGGTCCAGATATTTCATATTGGGGCTAGTTTTGTAGATGAGCTGCAGAGTTGAAATTGTAATTATAAGAATTACAGTGGTTTTTTCTGTTTTGGTTTTGATGTCCCCATCATTTTCACAGGCCAGAAGTCCACGAGAGCACCACTGAATGTGCTGTAATCAAGAAGAATGGAATGGAATTTTAATAAAATTTCATTATGCTAATTCCCGTGTACGATGGGTGGTGATAGTCAGAAATCGTACTGTCAGAGCTTAAATACATACAGAGTCCTAATGAACTGGGAAAGCACTTTGTGAAAGCAGTGAGATTGACTGAACAAGTGGACTAAAACAAAATGAGGACTCATAAAATCGCAGTGTACTAAGGGTGTCACAAATAAATAAATAAAAAATTGAATACTCATCAAATTCAATGAATATATTCATATTTGATTGTAGTAAGTGTCCGTTTGAATGCTCAAATCTTCCTCTGCTGTGGCTCCCAGTACATTCCTGGCCAGGGGTTCAGCTGCTTGGCTATGAGCTGCTGCACAGCTACTGCAGCCATGAGTGCCACTTACAGCATTATTACCTACACTAGGTGTGTGCACATTTTCACAAATGCAACCATGCATTTTAGCTCATAAGAAGAGTATATCATTGATGGGAGAGATTTTATGGAAAATTCATTTTGAAATATACGTCAGAAATGGCCGCTGTATCTTTCATTTGAAAACCATTTCTTGACACCCATATGACGAATTTATTTCCTTTTTCTGAAGTTACATTAAAATTTATTTCAATCTAGAAACATCCTATGTTCATCAAAATATGAACTCCAATCAAACCTGCCACATTTTTGTCATGTCTACTTTTTCCACTTGTGCAGAGTGAGCAGCCCATGCACAGTACTAGTGCTGTGAGGAGGAAACTTTTCTCTGATACAGCGATACAAATCTGATTGTGATTTCTTTACAATAAAAAGACCTGCTGTTGTGCTGTCAAATTTTAATCAGCTGTAAAACTATTTAGAGAGGAAAAACAGAAAATAGACAATATTTCTGCCTAAGTAAGCTGAGTTGGAGACTGTGTGGATTAGAAACAGTTGCTTTCAATTCACTTGGGTAGCACTTACCAAATGCTGACCAGACATATTTGCTGTGAATTTGAACAGCAATTAAGGTAAAAATCACTGCTTGCTCTGCTTTTTTAAAGACGCACCCGAAGATTGTTTAATAAGTTTTCACACCTGCTGTGGCTACGGCTGTCATTTGAGAGGAACCATGACTTGGTTCCTTTCTCAGGACCACATGTATGTAGAAACACAGGCTCCATGCAAATTTTGCCATGATGCAAATGTAGAAATTCAGAATGCATCAGAAATTATCATTAAACTAAGGCTGCATATCTGTACAAATATAACTGTACATAGGACCTCCTATTAACTGTACACAGGCCCTCCTACTAACTGCACTGAGGACCACCTACTAACTACACAGAACCACCTACTAACTGCACACAGAACCACCTACTAACTGCACACAGAACCTCCTACTGACTGTACACAGAACCTCTTACTGACTGTACACCGAACCACCTACTAACTGCACACAGAACCACCTACTAACTGCACACAGAACCTCCTACTAACTGCACACAGAACCTCCTACTGACTGTACACAGAACCGCCTACTAACTGTAGACAGGACCATCTACTAACTGTACACAGAACCACCTACTGAGTGTTAGTATAAGGTTTGGTGTTGAGTGTAGGGTTAGGATTAGGGCCAGGATTAGGGTTGGGTTCTGCTTAATGGAAGTAACATATTAAATCTACTTCATGTAACATAGCAACAATACATCTACTTTATGTAAGTAATGTATCAACAATACATCTTGAAAATATTTACTTCAGTGTATTCAGATGCTTCACTACTGTTGGTTCACTGGTATGTTATTAATGTGTTACTAATACTCTGTTAAGAGTTTATTAATCATCTACAAAAGACCGCTCAAAATAGTGTTACCAACATTTCTTTTATTGTTTTTAAACCAGTAAGTAAAATATAAACTTCAATGTTTAACCATCTCACCCTGTTTAAATTCAGAATTAAATGTACTGACTACATGCAGATGTTATACAGTGTATAGCTATAGCATAATGTGAACTAGCAGTAGCAACTCTTTTTTTGTTGTTGTTTTGTTTTCTTCATTAGTGTGGGACCAATGTGGTGCATTATCTGGGTCCAGATGAACAGAAGAAGCCTTTTCCCTTTGTCTAGGAGGTTGGAACTGTGAATTCTCAATATTTTGTTGCTTTAAATGGACAAGCTTTGGAAGAGTGGACACTCCTCAATTCTGTTGAAATCTGTTTTAAATCTATTTATTTGTTTTGGTGAGGTGATTGCGGAGCTTCAACAATTGTCAAAATGTAAATGATGAAATAATATGTTAAACGTCATTTATAATTTGTATTATACAGTTCATTGTAAATTTATAATGCATAACAAACACGATTATAGAGTGGAATGTGTTTTTACAAACACAGATTAATGCATTATAACGTTACGAATGTGATCATAGTTTCTTAGACATGGTATACATACAAAGTTACCAGAGTGCTTTGTACAACTACATACCTATGTCCACATATTTGAGGAAAACGTCTCGATGAACGGAGAGGTTTTTTATCTTATCAAGGTCGCTGATGCGATGTGCGTAAGTCAACAAGTGATTCTTGTCAACTTCCACTCTAAAATCAGAGCTGGTGCACAAAATCTTGAGCTGAAAAAAGGAAGAGTAACTCATTAAACTGTAAGGATCTGTATAGTTAAGTTACTTAGTCTTGTAACTACAGATCTAACACATTACTTTAATTAATAATTCATTATAGCATCTAAATAGGTCATAGTTGATAATAAACGAATAATAGTAGTTAATACCTAATTCCCAATAGATATGGAATCATTTATAGGAGAAACTTAATATTTCATAGTAGTTATGGAATAATGCATATTAGTTACTGAATAATTCATAGTAGATACTGAATAATGGATATCAGACACTGGGTATTTCATATTGATTAATGATTAATGCTTAGTAATACAGAAAAATTCATAGAACATACTAAATAATTCATAAAATATACTGAAGACTCCATGCTTGTTACCAAGAAAATCATAGTAGATATTTACAAATTCATTCTAATTAGTGAATAATTCATAGCAGATACAGAACAATACATAGACGTTACAGAATATCTGAAATAGCCTGTAGTTTAAGGGTTAATCTCAGTTCTGTTAACAGAACAATATTTAATTAATTCATTTCACAATCATCCTGCCAGTCAGGCTTAAGGTGAACATTTCAGCATCATCTTTGTGACATCAAACACACCAGTATTAGTAACTTCCACTGAGACTGAAGCTGAAATATAAGAAGGAACACTTTCACTAGTGAACATGATCCCTCAGTGAACAGACTCACTTAATATGGAGTGAAAGTGTTAAACTGAGGAGAACTGAAGGTAGAACAGGAGTGTCTGTTTACAACACTCACCTCAAAAGGTTTTCCAGGTCTGAAAGGGAAGAAAGGAAGTTCTCTTTCCTCAGAGCCCCAAACACCTCCAATCAGACTGTTCCTCACGATCACCTGCTTCCCATCCTCATTGAAGCGAGGGTTGAAATGAAAGGCTATATCAGGGCCTTTACAGATGTCAATGGTGAATCTAAAGAGAGAGAAAAAAGTTTCACTTTTTAAAACTGTTTCATTTTTAGATTTCTCATTCTAATTGTATTATTTATTGAACTCATACCTCTCAGCCTTGTGTTTGACCAGTCCATGAATGGTGATGACTGTTTGGTTCTTGAGTCCTTCAGGCAAAGCCTGCTCATATGGAACCTTTGGGAAGAATCCTCCTAGAAAGAAAGCAGGAGAGAGAATAAAGTGTTGAAAATGAAAGGATGAGTTCTGCTCTTCCTGCTCTGTGAGCTGCACACATCACTCTCACCAAAGCTGGAGAGATAATGATGTTTTTCCTACAGTCCACTGAACACTCCTTCTGCTACCAATCAATGTAATCTTTAATTTTCTTGTTCGTGACAAGAAAATCACGTATTGTAGCTCTGAGTTGAGCTTTCAGTTACTGAACAAAAGTATCTGGGTAATTTCCTCCAACTCCCCTAAAACCTGGCAGGTCACACCGTGGATTTCCATGAAAGAAAACTCAAGCAACCTATTTCATTAATGTAATCACAGGAAATAGTTTAGCTGTGTTAAACTAATTATTTAGTTATGATTTTTTAAAGTTTGCCCCATCAGGTGACTGAACTGAACGAATCTCTTATTTTTAATATGTTATCTTTTAATCAAAAATTCAGTTTGTTTATGTAGTTTTCTTTTGTAATATTCTTATATTTTTATCAAACCTATTAATTATTAATTTATCTGAGTAAGGAGTTACATGTCATTAATGCACACTTCTGTGAGAAAGTACTGAGACCCTTTTGTTTGCACAAATTCCAGCCTAAATGGACATCAAGCATAGGTTTTTTTTTTTTCATTTTTCAGCATCAGAAAAAACTGAAAAGTAATTCATGTCTGTTTCAAAACTTTTTATCATTTTGATGTGCTGATTAAGGTATTTGAGTAATTGTCAAAATAGAAATTGTAAATTCATATTTCAAAACAAGTTTGGTCATTGTAGCAAACCAGAAAAATACTCAAAATACTTTAAACAGATAGTTGGGTTAAAACAACTTATGTGTTCTGTTGACTATCTACCCAGCACTGGGTTGCCAAATAACATAGGTTGGGCAGTTTACAGCACAGCATTATTAGAGTAAATGAAAAAACTATCTATAATAAGTTAACAATTCATGAAACATAACAGACATAATTATAGAGTGTAATGTGTGTTTTTAAATATTTATAAAAGCATTACAGGAAGTCTTACCAGAGTGCTTTGTACAGTTACATACCTACGTCAACATATTTGAGGTAAACGTCTCGATGAATGGAGAGGTTTTTTATCTTCTCAATGTCTCTGATGCGATGTGCAAAAGTCAGCAAATGCTTGTTATCAACTTCCACTATGAATTCAGAGGAGGTGCAAAAAATCTTGATCTGAAAAACAAACAGAGTTAATTTCTTAAACTGTAAGGAATTGTTTGAGGGTCCACAATGCAGTACATTGCTCTCATAACTACAGATCTGACACATCAGTTTCACTGTATAATTCATGGTAGATACTCAATAATTCATAGTAATTACTGAATAATTCATAGTAGTTACTGGATAATTTATAGGAGATACTAAATAATTTATAGTAGTTTCATAACAACAAGCCTAGTTTAAAGGGTTAATCTCACTTCTTTTAACTAAACAATATTTAATTCGTACATTTGATTTCACAATCATCCTGCCAGTCAGTCTTAAGGTGAACATTTCAGCATCATCTCTGTGATGTCAAACAAACCAGTATCAGTAACTTTCACTGAGACTGAAGCTGAAATATAAGAAGGAACACTTTCACTAGTGAACATGATCCCTCAGTGAACAGACTCACTTAATATGGAGTGACAGTGTTAAAATGAGCAGAGCAGGACTGTCTGTTCACAACACTCACCTCAAAAGGTTTTCCAGGTGTGAAAGGGAAGACAGGAAGTTCTCTTTCCTCAGGACCCCAAACACCTCCAATCAGACTGTTCCTCACGATCACCTGCTTCCCATTGTCATTGAAACGAGGGTTGAAATGAAAGGCTATATCATCACCTTTACAGATGTCAATGGTGAATCTAATGAGACAGAAAAAAAGTTTTACTTTTCATTTCATTCACGTTTCATTTTTAGATTTCTCATTCTAATTGTATTATTTATTGAACTCTTACCTATCAGCCTTGTGTTTGACCAGTCCATGAATGGTGATGACTCTTTGGTTCTTGAGTCCTTCAGGCAAAGCCTGCTCATACGGAACTTCTGGGAAGAATCCTCCTAGAAAGCAAGCAGGAGAGAGAATAAAGTGTTGAAAATGAAAGGATGAGTTCTGCTCTTCCTGCTCTGTGAGCTGCACACATCACTCTCACCAAAGCTGGAGAGATAATGGTTTTTCCTACAGTCCATTGAACACTCCTTCAGCTACCAATCAATGTAATCTTTACTTTTCTTGTTCGTGACAAGAAAATCACGTATTGTAGCTCTGAGTTGAGTAGCTACACCTCTCACCAAGTCTTGGTGAAAAAACATTTGAAAAAACATTGTATTTTTTACTGAATTCCTTCCTCATTCACTAATGCATTTGGGAGAACAGAGAGATCACTACATGGAGAAGAAAGCTCATTACTTTTCCAAAGAGCCTCCTGTAGCTTCTGAGTGAGCTGGTTCTTTTTCATCCGTTTGAAAGTTATCTCAGTGATCTTTGCTGCTTCTGCATCATCGTAGAACTCAGTCAGTTGTTTGACTGTCTCCTGAATGGAGGTGTCCTTTATCTTGCATTCTGGTATGAGAGGCCAGACCAGGTGCCTCTGGAAGCTCTTCAGCTCATCAGCTTTCAGATTCCCAAGAACATTCAGGAAAACTTCCTCGAGTTTCGCTTTTTTCTCCATCTAGACACTGGATGTGAAGACAAATTATAATTTTACTCCAAGGAACTTCACTCTAGAACTTCATATTTCAACATGTGTTCATATTTCAACAGCCTGAATATTTTCAATTTCAAACTTAACTGAAATAATCTTTTGAAGACACTTATCTGGGATGTAAGAGTTTGCCTGCTTGGAAAATACTGACACTGTATACAAATAAACATCAGAAGAATAAGAAGTGATTTCATGTCTGTCAGGCCAGTATTTGTATTATGTGTAGTTCTGTCCTGTGTTCTGTTTTGGCTAATCAATCTCTCATTAAGATAAATCACTTCAATCAATCTTTCTTTAAGTTAAATCAGGTGTGATGTAAGTTGAACTGAACAAGTCTACACAGTGGATGGAGCAGCGTGAAAGAAAAGGAGCATCACACCCATGTTTTTTTGTCATTTTTCCCAATTTTCTCTTCTTATTTACAATACTGGGAGGGTGAAGCTAGCACAAGCTTCCTCCAAGTCACATGAAGCATCACTGCATCTGTTCAAACTACCTGTAACACAGCAGGGGGGGCAGGGAGGGCCATCCTACCCAATCGGATTGGGATCAAACTTATGATCTGCTGACACCTGACACCTATTTAAACTCTAGCTTCTCGTACAGTTTTCAACCTAAAACAATGAAACTTTGCAGGATCATAGAGCCGTATTATGTGATATCACTGTATAACCACAGTGTCATTTCAATGACCAGTCATCTGTGTGAGGAGTAATCTGAGGAAGGTTTTCTGCTGTATTATTAATGCCTGAATACAGGCCTTCCTTACCGAACACAGTGTCCTGAGTAAAGGACAAATTGGCCTTCTTCCAAATCATTGTACTACTGATCATATTTACACCCTACACACCCTCACCAATAAAATAAAAGTTTTTACATGTTTTACAGATTTTAAAAAAGCATTAAGTTTTATTTGGTAAGATGGTTTAGGTTACAAAATGCTCCAACATGGTGTAGGAAGTAAAGTCTATGAGGTCATTAAATCAATGTATTTTGATAATAAACATGGCATAAAGATTGGTAATAAAGTGACAGATCTCCTCACTCAAGGGCGTGGTGTCAGGCAGGGCTGCAGCTTGTCCCCTACTCTATTTAATACATACATTAATGATTTAGCTGTGTTACTGGAGTGATCTGCAACACCTGGCCTGACACTAAACCAAACGGAAGTTAAATTTCTCCTCTACGCAGATGACCTTGTGCTGCTGTCACCCACTGAAAAGGAGCTACAGCAGCACTTGGATCTGCTAGAGCAGTACTGTCAGAACTGGGCCCTGACAGTCAACCCAAACAAATCTAAAGTCATGATCTTCCAAAAGAAAGCCAGATCTCAGGAAAGCAGATATGTGTTCAGTCTAGGAGACGCCGCCCTGGATCAAACGCTTTCCTACGATTACCTGGGACTAAAGATTAGTGCCTCAGGAGGCTTCGGTCCGGCAGTGAATGCACTGAAAGAAAAGGCCTGCAGGGCCCTCTATTCAATCAGGAAACAGTTCCACAAGATTAATATCCCAATCAGAATCTGGACAAAGACCTTCGACAGTGTAGTCCTGCCCACTGCGCTGTATGGTAGTGAAGTCTGGGGTCCACTCAGTCATCGTGACTACACTAGATGGGACAAGCATCCCACTGAAGTCCTGCATGCAGAATTTTGCAGAATGATTTTAAACGTCCAAACAAAAACACCAATGAATGCCTGCAGGGCTGAATTAGGCAGATTGTCAATAAAGCAAGAGAGAGAGAGAGCAGAATGGCAGAGAGAGACAGAAAGAGAGATAGAGAAACAGAGGAAGAGAGAGCAACAGAGAGCAAAGAGAGAGAGAGAGAAAGAGCAAGCAGAAAGAGAGAGAGAAAACATATCAGGGAGAGAAAGAAAAACAGAGAAATAGAGAAAAAGAGAGAGCAGAGAGAGAGAGAAAGAGAGAGAGAGAGAGCAGGGAGAGAAAGAGACAAAACACAGAGTGAGAGAAAAAGAGAGAGAGAGAGCAGGAAGAGAAAGAGAAATACAGAGAGAGAGAGAGAAAAAGAGAGGGCAGAGAGAGAGGGAGAGACAGAGAGAGAGAGAGAGAGGGAGAAACAGACAGAGAGAGAGAGAGAGAGAGAGAGAGACAGAGAGAGAGAGAGAGAGAGAGAGAGAGAGCGAGCGAGCAGAGAGATCCCAAAGGGTTACACCTTACATAAAAGTCGCAAATTAATTGATAATTCTAAAATAATGAAATACTCATTATTTATATATTCATTAACTGCTTATTAAGCATTTGTTATTTAAGTACTTAGTAATTAGTAATAGAGTACACTGTTAACTGAAAGTTTAGTTTGTCATTAGTTCAGAGCTTAATTACTCATTAACTGTGCACTAACAACTGCTCATTACACTGCTAATGAACTGATAAGTGTGTTTACTCATATAAATAAGTACCTATGTGTTAATCCCATTACTTATTTCTTAATTAACCTACTGATTAAATGTAATTAATTAATTGCCACTTTGTATCCTTCACAGTAAAGTGGTTATTCTCATTACTAATTATACTATGAACTTATGATTATGACTTGACTAGTTACTATACTTGTTTTTGTGTCCTCTCAAGTAAAGAGGACAATATACATACATTATCAATTAATGTTTAGTCTGTTAAGTCCTTCATACTTGCACATCTCATCCAAGGACAGGTTCTTTATGTATCCAAGATTGGGTTTGCATGATATCACTCCAAAAAGACCACTTTTGGCATTTTAAAATTTAAGACAATAAGAGAATAGTTTACTACAAATATGTACATATTTTATTCCTATGCTTATAAAGGCAAGTGTCTTCATACATCTTTGAATAAGCATGTTTTACAATGTTTTTGAATGTTTTAGGCCTAACCTGTCTGCCCAACTGTGTTTCTACTTTGATTCACAGTGAGTTGTGTACAGGCTGCTCTTGTAAGGGTTCAGCCTGCACCGCCAGCTGCCAGCAGAGGGTGACAGCGGCAGGGTGTCCAGCCTGCACCGCCAGTTGCCAGCAGAGGGCGACAGCGGCATGGGGCCATAACTTCAGGGAACTCCAATTCCCAGAAGTCCGTGGGCTGATTAGGCCCAACGCGACACAACTGCGGACTCCTCTACTTAAGGCCATGGCAAATAGTGGTGTTTGTCACACCTTTGTAGAGGGGTGACCGGTACGGTAAGAAATTGCCCCAAAACTTAACCAAGAGCAAACACCTCAAACAAAGTCTACCTTCCCTTCATTTTTGCAGGGGAGGTGTATTTCATTTTCTCTTTCGTTTCACCTTTCTAGTTCAACCTTTGTTTGACGTTTCCCGCCTTTTCATTTTCCCCTTTCCTTTTATGTCCCGGTGGTGCAGCGGTAACGTCACGGACCGCCGATCTGTACAGCGGCGGTTCGAGCCTGGCTCTGGGTCCCCTCAGTCACAACGTTTTCCAACTCACTATCCAGTGCCCCAGTAAATTAATTTATCCCTCTTTCTCTCTGCTTCCATTTCTGCACTTGGGTCTGCCTCCCCGCCATCCCATAAGAGCTCTTAATCATGAAGTTGTAGTACAATTAGTTTATTAGTTGGGCATGTCGTCACTTTACTTAAAGGGACACATAAAGCAGTAATTAATGGTTAAGTACCATGAAGTAAAGAGTAATTAATGGTGAAAATGTAAAACCAGCTCTGAGGACAGAGAAGCAGCTGAACATGTGAAGGTGAAGGGAAGTGTCCAGTAAAGACCAAGGACTGAGTTCCATATAAAAATGCACAGTGGAGGAAAATGTAATGATAGATCAGTATATTAATTAACAGATAATTAACAGGATTAACACAAGTATTTGTTAGTTCTTATATTTCTTATTTATATGAGTAAACACACATCAGTTCATCATAAGATTAATAAGCAGCAGTTGGTGCACAGTTAATGAGTAATTAAAGCTCTGAACTAGGGACAAACAAAACTTTCCGTTAAGAGTGTACTCAATTACTAATTACTAAGTACTCATCACTCAGTAATCAGTAATGAATGCTTAATGAGTAGTTAATTAATAAATAAATAATGAGTATTTAATTACTTATTAGCAAATAATTATCGATTCATTTATGGCCCTTAATGTACCCCAAAAGTACCATTACAAGAAAAATTGTACTTAAGTCCAGGAATGATTGTATATGTAATTTACAATCGTTCCTGTACTTAAATGACTATAGAGAACTTTCATAAATCTACACAAGTATGAACAGAAACATCTCAACACGTTCCTCCTTCCAGTCTCCTTCAACAGAAGATGATGAAGGTCAGTGAATGTCCTACCTTTCAGTGGATCAACCCTCCAAACTCACTCAGTGATGGTGCTCTATGAGCTACACTGACTGACAGGAAATATATAGCACTCACTAATGATATGCATGTGACATCACATCAGGAACATTTGCATAAAACTCCTACACTGCTACGTTGTGTAATTTACTTATGTTCATTACACAACACAGCTCCTGTGAGGAAACCTGCTAAAAACTAAGTTTCTTAAGTTTCAAGTTTATTTGTCATTTGCACAACATGTCAGGACATTCGTGCATTGAAATGCTAGTGGTGAGGCTCAGCTAATCACTCTACAGCAGGGAAGCATTATATACATACTAAAAACAGTGCAGACAAAACAAATTAAGAATACAAAGGAAAATACTAAAATGAGATATGTTAAGTATACACAAACTATAGAGACAGGAGGCACCTATGAAGACTAACTCTCTGTTATGTACAAATATATTAAACAAAGGATAATCTGGGCAGAATATACATTTTAACTATACAACAAACAGAGAAATCCATTCTAGATTGATTGTATAAATTATGCAGTCTGCATGTTATCAGAGAGTAGTGTAGGTTCTTTTTCAGATTATAGCAATTTACAACAGGCCATATGGAAGCATGATATCAGCTTATCATATCAGAATCCCAGAAAAACAATAGAAGAATCTCAGAAAGACAAAAAAGAGTCCCCCAAAAACACCAGCACAGACCAGCAGAACACTAGAAGAATCCCCCAAGATAATAGAAGAATCCCAGAAGAACACTAAAATGATCTCACTCTTATGCCCTAACTATGTCAGCTTTGCAGTGAGCTAAACATTCTTCCAAAAATGCCCAAGATGCGAACTGCCTAAAGGTGATTTAATGCAAATGGCGTGAAACAGCACAGAATTGCAGTATGGTTTTCAATGCAAGTCATCAGTTAAAGGATAAAAATATAAATACATAAAGTAGATGTCTACAAGGGATGAATATAAATTGCCTTGACTATGAGTAGGCTACAATATAGTACATGCTGCCAACATGAAGTTTGTCCAAACTTACTGATACTTATTTCACTGCATATACATGCAAATTTAATGCAAGTTAAAAGTTCATGGACATCACTTTGTCCATCAATTTGCTTGTATGTGAGCTCATTACATTACTGTGGCTGGCATAGAGCTACAAGCATGACTTCACTAACAAAAATAAATGACAAAAAACACAATCTCCAATGACATTAAAAAAATAATTAATGTGTTGTTTCATTAAGAAGTATCCTCATTAATCATTAAATATATAATAATCAACTATTAGTTTCCCATTATTTAGTTATTAGTTAACTCTTCATTAAGCATTAGCTAATAGTAATTGATTAAGCACTTATCAATTAGTAATTAAGTACACTGTTAGTTGATAAGTTAGTTTGTCGTAGTTTATGTCTTACTTACTCATTATCTGTGTACTAACTGCTGCTTATTACATTGTTAATTAACTAATAAGTTTTTTTTTTCCTTCATATAAAGAAGTAACGTGATAACTTACTAAGATAATAAGTGTTTAATCAATTACTAAGTAATAGCTAATGCTTAATGAAGAGTTAACTAATAACTAAATAATTGGAAATTAATAGTTGATTGTTATATAATTAATGATTGATTAGCGACCCTTAATGTAAAGTGTTACCAGTGATGCTGTCCCAAACACATTGTCACCACTAGAAGGAGGCAATGAGCCACCTCAGAGCAATGATTTGGGTTGTTATGTAAGAAAATACAAGAACTTCTTTACTACTTTACAAACATTGAAGTTCCTGCTAAAGCCTGAGTAGACTGATAAATCAATTTGATCGGTTATTAATCTCAGTGTTACTGAGCTCTGCTAAAGCCTGAGTAGACTGATAAATCAATGTGATGATCAGTTATTAATCTCAGCATTACTGAGCTCTTCTAAAGCCTGAGTAGACTGATAAATCAATTTGATCGGTTATTAATCTCAGTGTTACTGAGCTCTGCTAAAGCCTGAGTAGACTGATAAATCAATGTGATTGGTTATTAATCTCAGCGTTACTGAGCTCTGCTAAAGCCTGAGTAGACTGATAAATCAATGTGATCAGTTATTAATCTCAGCGTTACTGAGCTCTGCTAAAGCCTGAGTAGACTGATAAATCAATTTGATCGGTTATTAATCTCAGCATTACTGAGCTCTTCTAAAGCCTGAGTAGACTGATAAATCAATTTGATCGGTTATTAATCTCAGTGTTACTGAGCTCTTCTAAAGCCTGAGTAGACTGATAAATCAATTTGATCGGTTATTAATCTCAGCGTTACTGAGCTGTGCTAAAGCCTGAGTAGACTGATAAATCAATTTGATCGGTTATTAATCTCAGTGTTACTGAGCTCTGCTAAAGCCTGAGTAGACTGATAAATCAATGTGATCGGTTATTAATCTCAGCGTTACTGAGCTCTGCTAAAGCCTGAGTAGACTGATAAATCAATGTGATTGGTTATTAATCTCAGCGTTACTGAGCTCTGCTAAAGCCTGAGTAGACTGATAAATCAATGTGATCAGTTATTAATCTCAGCGTTACTGAGCTCTGCTAAAGCCTGAGTAGACTGATAAATCAATTTGATCGGTTATTAATCTCAGCGTTACTGAGCTCTGCTAAAGCCTGAGTAGACTGATAAATCAATTTGATCGGTTATTAATCTCAGTGTTACTGAGCTCTTCTAAAGCCTGAGTAGACTGATAAATCAATTTGATCGGTTATTAATCTCAGCGTTACTGAGCTGTGCTAAAGCCTGAGTAGACTGATAAATCAATTTGATCGGTTATTAATCTCAGTGTTACTGAGCTCTGCTAAAGCCTGAGTAGACTGATAAATCAATGTGATCGGTTATTAATCTCAGCGTTACTGAGCTCTGCTAAAGCCTGAGTAGACTGATAAATCAATGTGATCAGTTATTAATCTCAGCGTTACTGAGCTCTGCTAAAGCCTGAGTAGACTGATAAATCAATGTGATGATCAGTTATTAATCTCAGTGTTACTGAGCTCTGCTAAAGACTGAGTAGACTGATAAATCAATGTGATCAGTTATTAATCTCAGCGTTACTGAGCTCTGCTAAAGCCTGAGTAAACTGATAAATCAATGTGATGATCAGTTATTAATCTCAGTGTTCCTGAGCTCTGCTAAAGCCTGAGTAGACTGATAAATCAATGTGATCAGTTATTAATCTGTGTTACTGAACTCTGCCAAAGCCTGAGTGTGTATTTGCTGCCAAAGCTGTTAATGCTCTTGTGTATTTATTAATTATTTCTAATGGTTGATATGTTATCAACTTCACAGTCAGAATGAGAAATAGAAACAATTAAGTTGTATATGCTAAACCGCTAAGTAAATTTAGATAATAAATATCTAGTTCATTTGCGAAGTAAAAACTGTTCACTTGTACACTTGACATTACAGAATTACTAATGATGCTTAAGCAATATATGCAATTAAAATTAATTAACAAAGTTAAAGTGTAAACACTCAACAGACTCTCAGTAACATAACAACATATCATTGATGTAACAACAGTGAATACATTCAGTAAATTGTCAAGAGACTTTTTATTAACTGTGTAAACAAAATCTGTTTATAATCTGCTGAATTCAGTTGTTTTTCTCTTTATTTGTGTTCAAGTTCAGATCTGTAGATGTTTAACTGAGAGGAATTGAACATTAACAGCTTTAATACAGACCATCAACATCCTCACCAAGCTGATACAGACACACTGACACCATCCTGTTCCATTCACTTGATTAGGATTTGGTTAAGGTTAGGGTTAGGATTAGGTCTAGGTTTGGATACTGAGGTTAGGGTTAGGGTTAGGTTTAGGTTTGGATACTGAGGTTAAGGTCAGAGTTAGGTCTAGGTTTGGGTACTGAGGGAAATGGATCGATTTTCAATTCGTTGCTATTCAATTTATTTTTATTGTGGCATGCATTAGAGTTTAGTTCAGGATATCTTGCTTTTTCCCATGGGTTTATGCATGAATGCAGCCAACTGGCTTGCCTTAAGTAAAATACGATGGTACTGCAAGTGTGGGCATTCTGAGGGGTGGGGGGTAGGAGACCATATCAAAGATGTGTCCCATCCACTATCATGATTGTGGTTCCTATGTTTTCCGGAACACGCCCCCATGTGTCCCTAGGACGGTTTCATGATATACTTCCCTAACCCTTCCCTGCCCTCAAATCGAGTGGGAGTGTTGGGGGGCCATTGAGAGTTTAGCGACCCCGTGGGGTTTTCAAGCCTGGACTCTGGCCGGGGTCAGCCACCGACATGGGAGGTTGGGCTGAGCTCAACCACGGAGGTCCCATGTTTCCGGGACCCCCCGGGAGCTACTTAGAGTTCCTGATTGCTTAGGGGTCCGGTACAAGCCACAGAAGCCAAACGGGTACAAGCCCTAAAATGTTCATTCCCAGAAACTCCAGCTTTGGCTCGAGAGGCTCTCAGGGTGTTAGACTGATAGAGGACAAGCGTTGGGAGGTGTTCCAAGCCACTTAAAGGAACGCTAGGTCGCAGGAGCTCCAAACTCGGATATATATCGCTCAGGCTGTCAGGACCTGTGGCATATTCGAGTTTGGCAATCCTAGAGTTAAAGGTCGAGGAGCTATGGCCCTCATGTAGCTCAGGCCTCAGGCAGAGGTCTAAGAGAAGTATATCATGCCACCCAAGGGGACGCAAGGTCTTAGGACCACCAAACTCGGATATGTCGCTCAGGCTGCTAGGATATACACAGCTTCAGAGTTTGGCAAGCCAAGGGCCAAAGGTCAATGAGCTATGGGCCCCATGTAGCTCAGGCCTCCTGAGTGCCAATATCCAGTTTGGTGGCTCAAGATCCAAAAGTCAGGGAGATACAGGCCCGGGACGTATTGGTGATACAGGTCGCTTTCCTAATATGGGATCCTAACACTGTAATTTTCAACATCACTAAACCACCAAATGATATCAGAAATGCCTTCAGGAACTTAAGGCAAGTGCATCCACGGGCCCGCACTCCCAGACCACCT